AAACGACGTGTCATTTTGGCACCCTCTCCATCGGATTTCATGGAAACTTGACAGACCAACAGGAAATGGAAAGTAACATGACCTCCTTGATGCAAGCCCTACTCCCTGAGTCATTAGTTATTTTTGTCTTATGATTTTTACTTTAAACTTAACATCATAACAAGAACGCCTGTTATTAGGTGCGCCAATGGGTATGAAAGTTGTTGCTTGACAAATTGGGCTTGCAATCTTTTAGGGTTTTACCACACGGATTCTTCTCTATATTTTTGTTTTGTTTCGTTTTTTTAGCCGCTTCCGCCTTGCATAGAAGAAACCCCAACCGTAGGAATGAAGTAGAAAGACTCATTATGGCATTTCCTTCATCTCTTTCAGTTCGGATAGTTACAGATTTATAGCGCAGCATTTTGTCTCGGACTTTATTAGTGAATATGTGATGCAGCGCAATGATAAAAACAGTATCAAAAAAAAATTTTAGAGCAAACTTGAAGAGTATAGCACCTGTCTGGCTCTTTTTCTTGCTTGTCAGCGGGTGGTTTCGCCCTTTATGAATTTCAACCGACAGAACCACAGCATGTCGACAAAGCACAAAAGAGACGTTGAGCAAGCGACTTTAGGTATAGAGATTGTGTTCACCATAGGAACAGAACCCATCGACCTCGCTAAGAGGACTATCCTGGTGGGCAACGGGGTCGACGCGGATGCCACTAGAACGCGTTAGCCCACACAAGGACAATGATTATCCAACCCAACGGATCCCATGGACAACCTTTGCGGCTTACGGCGATTGTAGCCACGTGGTGGCGATGTAACAGAAGGTTTACATCAAATCGAAGACACCGTCCACGAGAAGAAGAACTTTATTATCAAGTTATGCACTTACCGATCTGCAGCACTGCCCCGGCAGTTTTCCCAACGCAACTATAAGCGAGCCCATACAGCAAAAATTAGACCTTTTCCAGGGAGTAATGTGTAAAAGATTGTGTTCGGCCAAACACCTCCATCCACACCGCTGCCACCACTTACAATACTATCTCCTACTTGTCCTCTGAGAATGCACATAAGGGCAAGAGGAAGCTACTATACGTTATCTTCAATGCAGAAATAAAAGTGTAGGTCATCGTGAGTATCGGGTTTAGAATCTGAAGAAAGCCTCATTTTACGAACACGAAGGGAAAGAATTAGATAGGAATGAGATATGCGCTAGTTTCTCTCTGAATGCATACAGCAGGTCTGAACCTCTTGTAGTAGGAATCCCAAATCACCACTTGATACTTTGGGAAGAAGGGAAACCGATTTTCAGTAGTGCAATCTGATTTTGTTTGTGTCTAATATGTAGAGATAGAGTGTAAAGCGGCAAGCACACAGACCAGTGGGCTCGCCCCGAACCGTAATAATCAGTATGCGCATACAGAAAAAAATACTCTAAAGTCCTTATCCCTGATTAGAAGCACGTGAATATCTGTAGAAGTCCACTTGCAGGTATCCCTTTTCGTCGTTTTCGTTTTCCCTCATCAAGGAGGGTTCTATAGTACTTTTATCACCCAAGGAATCTCCACCACCAATCTGCCAACACGGCGGCTAGCTGTTCGTGAGTGCATTACGTAACCACGTGTTAAACAAATGTCAACTCCGTCCCGCTTATCTTCGGCAGGGAATTCCCGCACCGAGAATGGGGAGTTGTATAGCCGCAGTCCACCTCTCGGTGATCAGTCTAAGTCCGTCGCAAGCGCAACGTCTACCCTCCAAAGCCGGGTGAAATCCACCCACGCAGCTTCCAAAAGCTCATCGTACTCCCATAAACCCGCTGATACTTCTCCACAACAACAACAACAACAACGACCCACACAGAGGGGGATATTGTCGGCGTCGACTTCACTCACATCGGTAACTCCATCGATGCTTGCCAATCCCTTGAGCATGCAAGCTACGGTGCTACGGATTCCGGACTTCTTTGTGAACCAACTGCCCTCGGGGCAGGATCTCGTTGAAGAGGGAGACATTTTATACGACGTCTTGAAGGATGTACGATTCGGAAGTGATGAACCCGACGACGAGGCAGATGCCAGTGAAGAAGCCGAGCCTGCTAAAGCGAGCCGTGTACAGCCCCTGGCATGGGTATCATCGATACCAGTTATCGGTGTTCAGCCGGTTCTCACGCTGCCAGATAAAGTCGGCAAGTACCTGGCCCACGAGCATTTGAAGGCGCTCATTTGCTTTGTTAATGGAGCCGTCTACCCATTATTCAACCTGCGCTTCCGTATTGATGTTATTCTACCGCAGGAGGCGACGCCATTGGTGCATTCGCCCCCTGCACAATCGCCGAGACGGTCTCTCCTTGTCCACAAAACATGCCCGCATATGAACCCCAAATCGAGCAACGAGCACACCGTTGACGTGCTGCTCTCCATCGCCGGGACGTACGTGCTGGACGTCAACGTCCTCTACGTGGATCCCAGCGGGGAAGAGCGGAAGCTGAGCTGGGCGAGTTCGTTTGTGGTGGAGCAGGCGATCACCGAGGTCTCTCGGCGGCTGCTCCGCCGCGTGAGGCTGGCGGTGGGGCGGCCGGTGGCGGGGAACGACGCCGCCGCAGGGGCGGTGCGCCGCCTTGACTTTGACCAGCACCCCGCCCCGCCGCTCCCACCGCCCACGCAAGCTGAGGCCCTGGCTAATCTCAGGCTCCCCCTGCACTCTTACCTCCTAACGATAGATCTGGAGAACACCTGTAGCGTCCCGCTGACGCTTTGCCGGATTCAGCTGGTGACGGCCCTCCCCACGGATGGGGCGGGCGCTAACAAGAATGCGGCGGGCGTGAAAGGCTCCCCCAATCCCCTGAAGCTTCTTAGACCGTCCAAGATGGTTAGTGTTGGGGAACACGGGGGCCCAAACTCGGACGCGTCGACAGTCTTCCTGCAGCCCGGCGAGAGGTACCAGCGCACCTTTGAGTTCCTCATCATGGCAGACGCGCTGCGCAATATGCTCGCCGTATATAACTCCTCCACAGGGGTCTCCTTGCCGCTGTTGAAGCCTCCGCTGAATGGGCCGCTTGGGTATATTGAATGGGAGTGGCGTCGCTGGAACGGCGATGGTGGCATCGAGCGGTCGAGGCCAGTTCTCTTCGAGCAGCTTGTAGGGCTACCGATGATGGAGTTGGTTGTAGTGCGCGTTCGACCTGCTTCTTCGGACAGCGACGGTGTGTGTTGGTATGACGGGAGTGCATCGTCGTTGGCAGCACCCATAGAGTCCGGAGAAGCGCCAGCTGACATTCCACGCGTTGAACATGCCGACGGCATAGACGACGAGCCTCTTCTAGTAGGTCGGCCAGTGGAGCTGGAGCTGTGCATAGTGAACTATGGAAAGCATATGTATTCCGATAGTGAAGCTCCTGTTGATGTGGCGATAAAGGTGCGTCCTGAGAAGTTGGCACCGTACTGGTTATACACAGGTGCCATACCATGTCGTTTAGCGCATGTCGAACTGCACAGCACACTTTCCTTCAAGCTAACACTACTACCTTGGCGTTCGGGATGGCTGCCGTTGCCGCGCGATAGTCTTCAAATCGTGGACGCTCGCTCACCAGAGCGTGTATTAGCACCGCTACCTCCTGTGCTTATTGAATCCACATCGACTGCATTGGTGTCATCCCCTAGGATAGAAGTCGAAAGACAGAGTGGTGTCCTCCCAGGCTCCCTAATCGTGCCCAATGCAACGAGTTTGGAGCGCAGCAAGGTCCTCCAGACGGCGGCGGTAGTGTCAAAGGGTGTACGCCACGAGCCCATCAGAGGCGCAGCGGGACTCCGTGTTGAGGAGGATCCCAGTGGCTCGGTGTTATGCGAAGTGCTGGTGTTATAATTGAGGGGAACCTGTGCATTAACGAAGCAAAAGCTGAGAGCATTGTATCTCAAGAATTGTAATATAGTATACGTATAACTTTAAATATATATATATATATATATGTTCTTTTGGAAAAAGTAATGATCACTCTTCTTTATATTTTAGAAAATTATCATATTTCCACTTTTTAACTGTTTTGTGTAACGTTTTTTTTTTATTTGCTAGTAAATCAAATATTCATGAATTAAAAATACATGCATAAAAGTAATATATATACATACATAATTCAATACAAACCAAACGGCCCAAAGACAACAATACTATACTGAGGGCTTCTTCTATATTTCTCCATCAGAAGAGCTCCCTTGTCGAAATCCAAACAAAAAGTCATCGTAATGACAGAGGTTGACCCATCAACGCCACTTCCCCAAGAGCTCTCGACCAAATATCTATTGAAGTTGTCGACATTGTCGACTTTGTCGTTCCCCTCTTATCACGCTCGCTCTTCTCACGGGGGGCTTTCATCAGAGAGTCGTATGGGACATCTGGTAACTTGTTTGAGTTTCTGTCGCACGCCGCGGCACCGCTCTGAGGTGGAGAGCAACTTTACACGCGATGGGCAACGCAAAGCGTTGGACTCGTGGAATGGGACCCTCTCTCAAGCCCCCACTCCTAACAATCTTGCCTCCTTGCCCACCTTTCCCCGGATGACTCCCTTTGAGATTACTCTTCCGGTATTTGCGCAGGAAGAAGAATCAGTGCTGGGTTTCCTGTTGGATGCTCCTTCAGGCATGCTGCGGTACTACAGACAGCAGCAGCAGAAACCGTCGTGGAATCAGAGCATGATTAAAGACATTACGGGATCCTCTGACCCTACACAGAACTTGGCTTCTTTCTCCTTGTACAAATTCGGGAGCGGCGGCACGCCGCTCGAGATGGAAATCCAGACCCCCACGGACATGGATCCTGAGGGACGAGGGGGCGGTGAGGCGCGGCCGTGCCGCCGCACCCAGTTTGCGTGTACGATGAGCGATAGCGAAGGCGTGGGCGTGCGGCGATGCCCCATTGAGAAACTCCGGTGCTACCGCCGCCCCATCTCCGACAGCGACGAGGGCAGCACCTCCCAGATCTGCCTGCGGTCCTCTCGGCGGTACGAACGGTCGCACCCAAGCCGATGCGCCTCGCAGGATCCTGAGAAAAGCCACCTTCCACGCGGCGCCCCCTCGGTGGCGAGCGTCGTGCAAGAGGGAGGGGACTCCGCCGCGACTGACGCCGGGGTGGGGCTCAGCCCAACTCCCACCTGGCGAAAGGCGCCCTCAGCGCAGGCACCACGGCAACGGGATCTAGCCCGGCCGCTCCGCCGGCGGCCGCCCATTCCCGTGGCCAAAATGCAGGCCAAAGGACCCCATCCTCGCCAACGGTTGCCCGCACGCCCCGGGAGGACGCCCCCGCCGGCGTCGCTCCGCAGCCGCCCCCTTGGCGGGCCCCCCACCACCCCGATAGCCTCAAGCAAACCGAAAGGTGGTGCCAGGGTCGCCACGAACCCTCGCTCTCCCACCTACGGGCTGTTCTTCTCAAGCTCGTCGTCGTACCACTCCTTGATGAACTTTGTGCTGCAGTTGCAGGAGCGACCCACCCCGGCGCGACAGCGTTGCTTTCAACCTGTGGGCATTATTTCGCTTACCGCATGTAGCACCAGTAGCAACGTGCAGAAATAGACGACAGAAGCGTGGGCCCTCGTCCGCCCTATTAATTGTTAAAGGTGCTATGGGGAGTCCCAAAGTTATGAATTCGTGATATGCTGCGGAAAAATGTTCAACTCCGTTCGGGAATGGCTCTCCTGTGCACGCACACACAATACTGTGCAGCGGCAACTTTGAATTATAGTTCTCATACACAACAATGATAGTCGCACGCCACCCACTTCTATGGAGGGGGAAAGAAAACGATCACCAATACTCATATCTCACAATGTTCCAGTTAAGAAGCTCACTTTCTTTGGTCTCTTCTGGAAAGATGGCAAAGAAAATTTCACCATGAATGATGGTATCAGCCGATCCTTCTCAATGCACATCCAGCTCCTAATATTGCGTGTGTGTGAGGGGAGGGCAAATCATTTTGTTCCTTCTTTCCGAAGCCAAACAAGTGATCACCCATCTGGATTCTATGGCTTCGCACATCACTCAACTATTTTTGGGTCATTTGCTGTCTCAGCTCACCAGAGTTGAGGACTTCATCTCTCGAACAAGATACACGGAAAGACACCGAATTGTTCAATGGGATCGTGACAGCAACCTTAGGGGGGGGAAGTTTAAAGGCAAATGTGACACCAACTCGCCAGCAATGAGGACATCGTGAAGAGATGATTGGGGGTTGGTATTGATATATGAGCTACTGAGTTCGGATGCATATCGACAAGGAGGACGAGGCTCATGATATCGATAACTGAGCCGACGGAAGATAAAAAAGAAACAAGTCATGCATTATGAAAAGCATCTGCATTGTAATGAGTGTGATTGCTCCTCAATAAAGAAGTATGTAGGGTTAGTTTGTTGGAACCTATATATGTATATATCGAACAAATGGAAGAGTGGGCCAAGACTTTAAATAATGCACTTCTCAGATGTCTTGTATCTCAGAAAGTAGGGGGATCTGCCTTGAGCGCAGCGCTGTTACGTATTTTTCGATTATTTTTATTCCTTAAAGAAGCGTATAAACGAATAAATATATAAGATAATGTGAAATAGTGTACACACGTTTTGTTTGTTCTTTTCCTATATGTAATTTGTGTTTTATTCTTGTTCGTTCTTGTTTATTTTTTATATTTGGTTTGAAATTCCTACTTTTTATTTCATTTGGCTCAGTTTTTTGCTGTATTCATAGTGCGTGTTAATGTCACATACATGCACGTGTCAACATTCGTATTTCTTCGCATCTGTGGATGCGGACTTTTTTTCTGTGATCAGTTTATCCTCATATCTCAAAATTTTCCCATCTTGTGTCTTTTTATCTAATGGCTGGGCATTCTTATTTCTATCTCTCCTATTTCCACAGAAGGGGGGTCACTGCGATGCCTTTTCTGTGTGGTTCAGAGGGGAAAAGATATATAAAATTATTAACACCACTAAAGGCGCCATTTAGTGTGTCTGCATTTGATTTTTGATTCGATGGTTTGGATAGGTTAATTTTGGTCCGATTGCAATGAGGATTTTATTATTGAGATTTTCGCCAGTCTCAGAAAGTACTAAGGTAGTGAAATAGTACAAAGGCTTTAAAAGGGTAGATTATTGTGGAATCTCCCCTTATCCCCGCTCGCTGTACCACTGCTGTGCATACCTTGAGCGGTGTGTCCTCTATCATTTATTCTGTTATCACCTAACCGTTTTGTGCATAAAGTTAAAAGTAAAACTTTTATCATCACATATTTGTATATATATATATATGCCTACTCGTTTGATTTCATGTTATTCATCTTGATCTTACTAATATCCAATCGTCTTTATTTCGATTAAAATGACTTTGTGTAGGAAAGGTAAGAAATTACCGTTCGCGCCCACTTTTATTTATGCATTTTTTTTACTTTTTTATTATTGGAATTGCATGCGTGCGCACATAACTTGCTTACCTTTCACTTTTGGCTCTGCCAAATGAGTATTTTTTTTCTTTCGTTATTCCTTATGCACACACGTCAGCGTGTGCATCAGCAGGTATATCGATACACATGAGCACCTATACTGTTTGAGAAAAGAATATTTACTAAATCGATGCATTGTTATTATAATAAAATTATCCATATTATTTGACCTCTCACAAGTATAACCAAGTGTATCATCGTCTGTGATAGTCACATTCTGTTTCTGGATAAGTGAGTATTGTGGAAATTATTTGTTATTGTTTTAAAAGATTTCGACTTCTCTTGTAATACCTTCATCGTCTACACTGTCTTTTCGTATTCTGTCATACACGAGTGTGGGAGTGATCTTTTCGTTTTCTTTTTCCTTACAAAAAGCAATGCCCAAAAAATACTTCATCTTCGCTGCCCCTTTACACTTTTTTTTCATTAGAGTATTGTTTCACATATATGATAAACGTGTTTGAATCTCTTTTTCACTTTCCTCTGAGCCTTCTATTCAAGCGAAAAGAATCTTGTGGTGAAGAGGGAAAAATGTCGATATATTATCCACTTTTATGTATAGCGTTACGATTCGGTGTGAATATTATGCACTAGCCGAAATCAAGAATATGTTTTCATAATTATTTTTATCTCTCTTGTTTTTCGCCGAATAGGGCTGATTTTATCGGCATATCCGCCCTGTCGAATTCGTCTACGCCATATTGGAATTTTTAAAAAACGATTCTAAGAAATCGATTTGTTCTTTCTAATTTCGACAATGTGTCGAATCAACAGTATGATATAATTTTCCCATCCCTTGGTACTCCACTTATTCTTAAACGTAGGGACTCCCTACCTCACTATTGATTTAGAAAATGGTCAATAAAATTGAGAAAGGTACATTGTGTAGAGTAAACACTCACAAAAATAATATAAAAGGTACTTTTGGTAAGTATCGCACCTCCCCTCATCAAAATATGTGTTATGATGGGACAGGGTTCTTGCTCCGTGCCTATGAGCGTGATATCGTTGGAACATTTACGCAATACTGTGAGCCCCAGCTTATTGGGAAGCACCCCATACGATATTCTAAATTTTTAGAGCTTGTTTACAATCAAGAGCAATATCGGCGACAACAGGCCAAGAGAAACGACAGTTATAGTTCAAATATACCGAGCAAAGGTGACGATGGAAATAATCGTGATATAGGTGACGAGAGTGCGAGTTCAGAGACAAAAGCGATACCAGATGTGATTTTCAAGTATCTGCAGGCCGTCGTGATGCCACCAGTCCCCGATCACAATGATGATTTACAGATCCTTAACACCAGGTTAAAGAATCCCACTGCAACGAAGAGCAGCAATTTAGCCAAGCTGAAAACTTCCTCAGAACGGATTCAAGCCTCGCGAATGACGGTGCTAGGGTATTTAGTGAATCACGCGGTGGACCACGACAGCGGCAGCACGAATAGACGCACTCAAAAAAGGGGTTCGGACGATAGTCAGAAAACTCCCACAAAAGCATTTATCACTAACACCTCTGGACAATTCTACGGGCTGCGGCAGATCTCCACAGGCTCCTCCGAGTACTTAACCGTCCTCGAATCATGGTATCGACTCCGTCAGAACCACAGGGATAACGATAAATGGCGACAGCTTCAGGATCAGGAGGACGGCGCTGCAGCTCGAGAGCAAGGGGGAAGACAGAGTGGTCGAGAACAAAACGAGATGAATGGGTATCTGTCGTGGTACTTTCCGGAGGATATGGAGCTCGATCACGTGATTGAGGGTCTCCTGATGGCTGCTGGGCTGCCCGACTCGCCCCACCGCGATGTCCGTATTGATCCTGGCAGGGATGATGCAGTGCAGACGTTTCCCCAGCCGGTACGCCTCACACCCCACGTCATGACGCCCCTGGTTAAGAACACCACTGAGGCCGTGCTTTATTCCCTGGTTCCACCACGGCTTCTGTTGTTTTACAACACCGACTCAGAGATTATTCGGCATCACTACACACAGGAACTGCAGAGGAATGAGCAAAGCGCTGGAAATCCCTCTGAAGAACACAGGGAGACCGAGGACAAGTTGTCAGGCGGTGTTGAAGCGGACCCCATAGTCGGGGAGGTCGCCCTCCTGATCGAGCTACCGAGCAGGCAGAACGCGAGCCGCCAGGACTTGCTGAAACTCTCCGACCGGATCGACCAACTCCTCGCGGAGAGCCGTGCGCGGGGCTGGAAGCACAACTCGCACGTCCCCATCACCTCCCCTCCGTCGGGCGAGCGGCTCAGTGACAGCCCCCCGATGGGCCCCTTGGAGGGCTCCACCCCTCTGGAGGGGAGTGAGGCGTCGTGCAGCCTGTCGCCACCCCCCCACGGCGGCGTGGAGTCACGGGCCGGGCCGTCCTTCGCCT